CCATGTGAAAGTCATGCCATGTGAGGGCCATGCCATGTGAAAGTCATGCCATGTGAGGGCCATGCCATGTGAAAGTCATGCCATGTGAGGGCCATGCCATGTGAAAGTCATGCCATGTGAGGGCCATGCCATGTGAGAGCCTTGCCATGTGAGGGCCATGCCATTTGAAGGCCATGCTATGTGAGAGCCATGCCATGTGAGAGCCATGCCATATGAGGGCCATGCTATGTAAGGGCCATGCCATGTGAGGGCCATGCCATATGAGGGCCATGCCATGTGAGAGCCATGCCGTGTTTGAGCCATGCCATGTGAGGGGCATGCCTTGTGAAGGCCATGTGTGAGGGTCGTGTCATGAGAGGGCAAGGCCACGTCAGGGCCAAAACATTTGAATGGAATATAATTTGAGGTCAAAAGCTTTTGAGGCCAAGAAGATGTAAGGGGAATCAAGTTAGAGGCCAAAAGCATGTGAGGTGAATAGAGTTTGAGGCCAGTAACATGTGGGTGCTTAGCATGTGAGGTCACGAGCATTTGAGGCCAAGAAAGTTGGCCTCACATATGTTTTTCAAGCATAGCAGTTATGGCAAAAGCTTTTGTGAACATGTCGCCCTAGCTCAGGGGTTCCCAAGGTTATCTACCAAGTTAAGTTGTTATCCAGCCTCAAAAAGCAGCTTGTTACAAATGTGTTCCAAAGATAAATTAAAGCTCACACTGTCCAAGCATGGATGAATAATATTTCCCCCCAAAAGGTGGTTTACCCACCGTTTGAACACCATCGAACCAACAGATACCCGCTGGAGCATCCGTTCTGGGTTCACACAATGAAAATTGGTTCGCACTATGAAAACTGGTTCACAAGCTGGAATTGGGTTCACACACTGGAAGTTGGTTCACTCGCCGAAAGTTGGTTCACAAGCTGGAAGTTGGTTCACACAGGGAAAGTAAGTTCATACACTGAAAATATACTTACACACTGGAAGCTGGTTAACACACCGGAAGCTGGTTCACACGAGGGAAGTGGGTTTACGCATTGGAAGTATATTAACACACTGGAAGTTGGTTCACACCCTGGAAGTTGGTTCACACACTGGAAGTGGGTTCACACACTGGAAGTGGGTTCACACACTGGAAGATGGTTCATACACTGGAAGTGGGTTCACACACTGGTAGTGGGTTCACACACTGGAAGTGGGTTCGCGCGCTGGAAGTGGGTTCACACACTGGAAGTGGGTTCACACCCCAGAAGATGGTTCACACACTGGAGTTGGGTTCACACCCCAGAAGATGGTTCACACACTGGAGGTGGGTTCACACACTCGTGTGAACCGTCGCCAGAAGTTCCCATGGATCTAATACAGCCCTTTGTTAATCCAACAATAACAGTGAATATTTATGACAGAATTACGATGGACTTCCGATAGTTTTGAATCCAATTATGTTTAGGAAGCGGTTAATTATCTTCGGTCACTTTCGGATTTTGAGCTGCATGCCAAACAGGCTGTTTTTAGTATAATGTAATTGTTCTAATATGGCGTACGATCTCGCCCTGATTTTTCCACAAATTTTTAAATGCATCTAATACGGTGCGCAAAGTATGATTTAGGATTCAAGCTTTTAAGCATTATAAAAGTTCCTTGTGATGAAAAACACATGGTGGTTTTGCAAAAAGTATAAATTGTCATGCAAATAAAGAAGCAATAGAAACAACAAAGGACAATGTTTAGTATTTGGATCTACTCACCCAGCGGCAACGTGAAGAAGAAGGGGAACCAACATAGGAGGAAGACTCCCACGACGATGCCAAGCGTCTTGGCTGCTTTCTGCTGTCGATGAAACTTAGCCATCCTGCCTGTGTGTACAGCAACTGTGGCACCCATGCGAGTATCTGTAGAACTGATGCTTGAACATCTACTGGTAGTGGCACTGTGCCAACTGGTGAAACTATGCAACGTGTTCCTACTATGCCACCTGGAGCCTATCTGTAGGTAGTTACTCATCCGAGCCTTCTTTTGCCAGTGGTTATTTGCTTGTAATCCTCGGGTGTGAACTTCTAGCTGTGAGGATGTGCGCTCTGGTCTTTGTCCGGCCCTAAAATTCACTGCATCTGAAGAGGGACTGATGCAGTTATCACTACTTCTTCTAATAGCATCTAAATGAGACCCTGCGACTGCGAGATTGTGGGTGCTGCTGGGTAGAGATCCACATCTGTTCACCCTAAGGTTCATCTTGGTGGAGTCCTGCCGTTGTGGCCCACCTTTGTGAATGCGTAGAGTAACCGAAGCGCCTGTGGTCTTTGTTCCACTTTCCAAAAATCTGCTTTGGCGACATGCAGTTCGGAATATCCGCCAGTAAAGTAAAACAATACAGAAACCTGGCAAGTAAAATGATACTACAACTGAGAATATCACGTAGGCTGTTTGTGTGTTTAGGGTGCAGACGTAAGGGTCCGATGAAGGAGGAGTTTGCCACCCAAACATGGGAACAATCGACACGGCTACACTGAGAGCCCAAACGCCTGCCATGAGAACTCCAACTCTCCGCTTGGTGACGATGGCGTTATACCCCAACGGTCTGGTAACACCAACGTATCTGTCGATGGATATCACGCATAATGACCATATTGAAGCAGTGCAGCAAAGAACGTCGACAGCTGCCCAGACATCGCAGAAAATCGCTCCGAACATCCAAGACCCAGAGACCTCCAAGACGATGCTGAAAGGTAGAACCGCGATCCCTAGTAGTAGGTCGGCAACCGCCAGATTGACGATCAGGTAGTGGGTCGACGAACGCAAACTTCGCGACATGAAGACAGCAAGTAAGACCAAGGTGTTTCCTGCAATCGTGAGAAGAGCCATGCAGGATAAGACCAAACCTTTTGCCACTGACAATGTCAATTGCAGGTGAGAAGATCGGCAACCTAAGAAGGAACAGCACGAGGCTCCTACTGAGCAGTTGTAGGAATCTTGCCAGGTTGAGTACGGCTCCTGGTAATACATTTCTTCTATCAGAGCGTTGTTGCGTGTAGTAAAGTCAGCAAATATTAGACTGTAATTCAGTCCTGCCATGTCTACCGTGAAGTTTCCTTCAGTGGTACGCTTCACGTCTGTCTAACCAGGCTATTCAACATTACACCCATTTATTCAGTGTATAACTAATCCTATGTTCAAGTCTTGTTTCCATGTAATCTCTAACGACTATCATTAGATTTTTCTTCAGCTTGATGCTATAGCCACGACCATCAAATATTTTGCTAGCTGTAAGCTGGATTCATTTCTCCAACTGCACACATCGACGACTTGCATCCATACTTCCAGCCAAGCATAATTTTTACAAAATTATCAACTTAATTTGTTCCATTTCTACAATTTGCGTTCATTTTTTCCAATTCCTACTACTCTTACTATGATGATGACTTTGCAACGATAGATTCGAAGGCGGCAGCGGTGCTCCCCGCCGATGAGCAGAACGTATTGCAATAAAGACGCATCTTTCCATCACTGATTATGCATATCCATCACTTTTCAGGCCTTTTTAACACTATTCATGCCGATCCATCACTACTAAGGCTTTTTCACCACTGTTCAGGAAAATTCATCACTTATAAAACATATTCGCCACTGTTCAGGCCTATCCATCACTACTACGGCTTTTCCATCACTGTTCAGGCCAATCCATCACTATTAAAACTCATCCACCACTGTTCAGACTTATCCATCACTATCCAGGTTGTACATCGCTGTTTATGTCACTCAACATCACTGCTTTCGAGCGTGGCCTGGGACTGCTACGTTCAAAATAAGTACTAAGGATACCAATGATAATGTTAGCGGATGCACTGAATCACTCTTTCCCTCCCAGCACTCCTGTCACCATCACTCATGGGACGGTGTCACGCTCATGTTCACTAGCAAGCGTGGCCCTTCATCATTCATCTGCGGAGTATTGAAATATTCTATAAATTTATTCACTTCAAAATAATGACTGTAGGATGTCAGCTCACATGAGGCTCATGTTTGCAAAGCAATATAAGGTGAATTATAATGAAGTGAAGCAAGTCGACTGTCTGGAATACTCATGCTTCTTTCTGGATAATTAATACTTTTTTGTTCTAGAACAAAAGTACATATATGCAGTTTTTAAACATGTAAATAATTTGAAGGCAGGTTGCAACTGGCACCCGTTGCAGAAAAGTTATGGTTACCCTCGACTACCACGACAACGTCAAGTTACCATCGACTACCACGACAACGACAAGTTTCCCTCGACTACCACGACAATGTCAAGTTACCCTCGACTACCACGACAACGTCAAGTTACCTTCGACTACCACGACAACGTCAAATTACACTCGATTGCCACGACAACTACAAGTTACCCTCGATTGCCACGACAACTTCAAGTTACCCTCGATTACCATGACAACGTCAAGTTACACTCGATTACCACGAAAACTTCAAGTTACCCTCGATTACCATGACAACGTCAAGTTACACTCGATTACCATGACGACGTCAAATTATCCTCGATTACCATGACAACGAAAAGTTACCCTCGGTTATGATATACAAGACTGAGCTTCGATAGCCTGCTAACAGTGGATAAAACTGCCCAGGATTTTAATGCATTCTAAAAATCCTGGTCTAACTGAAACACAGGTTTGCATTTGCGTTTAATTAAGAAATTTCAGATATTTTTGTTACCGTCCCCCTGCGTTTATTAACATAACAAAACACGGATTCCAAAATAAAAATAAATTTAACGGAGGCAAAGCGTCAATTCTAATCTGATTTAATTTCTGAATTTAACGTCAAAATAAATTATTTTTAAAAAAAGTTTTGAAGCAATGATTCCAAACAATTTGGAACGCCCGCGTCTAAATTTTTTTTTCGATCTTTAAAAAATAAATACTGCCAGTGCATCGGAATATGTCAGTGAATTAGGTTTGCGAGTATATACATACGCTATACCTCGAGGGGAATCAGGAATGCAATACCTCACGCTCGCCCCAAGCCATAAATTAGAGGTGGAGCATTTTAATCTTGCCGGCATATTGGATGCTGCATGGCATCTTTTTTTGCTGGTACACCCCACAGCTGGACTACAGCAGACCTGCTAACCTGCTAACGACTTGCTCTGTGTCTGCAGGTGTTTGTTTGGTGGTGGAAGTGTGTGGTCACTGTAGTGGAAGTGTTATGTGTGGTATGTGTAATCAAATGCGTTATGTGGAGGTTTATAATTGTAATGTAAGTGTTACGTGTGGTATGATATAGTCTGCTGCGTTTGAGCGCAATTGCTCGCCATCGCATCTTTTATTCCAAAGGCCAAAGTTATGAAACTACAGTTAGACAGATGTTATGGAAACGTTTTATATAACGCGTTATATAGCTTGCACAAATAATTTAATAGATTATTTAAGACGGGATAAGAATATTACTGCTGACGATGCAGACGACGGCAGGTGATTTAGGTCCCGCTTTGTGAGTCAATGAATAGTGAAAAATGATAGTGTAGCGGTAATTAATAAGATGAAGAATTTGAGGAAAAGGAGATATTGGATGATAATTGCACTGAAAAATATCATGACAATGCGCAGCAATAATTAATTTACATTTTTCAAACGTTTACTCAAGGTAAACTAAATCTCAGGTAATAATTAAATTTAATATAGTGAGCACTCTAATGCTTCACTCCAACTCATTAACTCGATCGGATCACTTCGAGAGCTCATTAAACTTCATCGAATTAGATTGCACAGTCGCGCTACCAAAAGCGTTAATACTTCCTATTTCAAAACAGCATTAATCAATACCGAACTGTAAGGTAAGCCGAGCTGTGTGTTATTTCGATATATAACTTCTAGATAAATGAAGTTGAGGATTATTTCAATGCAAAACTGTACAGAATTGTGAGTTTTATCATTCGGTTGGCAGAGCAGCATGCTTTAATTTTTTTTAATTCAAAATAAAGCAAACAAGAAAGAAAGGAAGCAAAAGAAACATATTTAACCGAGAGAGAATACTTCTTCTTGCTTAAGATTTTCCAACGTTGCGGTGAACATTGCAACATACGAATCAACGTTGAATTATTGCTAGGCAACATTCAAGCTCTAGTGCTTCATCATACGTTATATTATTACGTATGCTTGAACATACAATGTACGTTTAGGTTCATGATGCAAACGGAACGGCTTAAATGCTGCACGGCAGACGTGAACGATGCCTTCTTCACAAAAACTTCCATCCCACAATTGAATGACGTTAAAACTACGTTGTACTTAAAAATATTTGACAAAACCACGCTCATTGTTGCTTCAACGTCAAATGTCTAGTGGGATGACAATGCGTGCCGTGGCCGTGAGGATTTCACGTGAGAACATATTAGGGTATTAGTAGTGCATGATCAGCAATTCTGTTCAGTTTCTGTGCCATCTGATGCCAAGTAGCGATGTGGCATCCCGAGCTCTGTGTGGAATCTGTATCTCCTTACTTCACAAACCTGGTGATGTACCAGTTGGGGAACTTAAGTAAGGCAGTTGTTTCATTTTCGTAGAGGCTGATATTTTGGCAGAGGGCGGCCAGTCGGTTTCGAAGTTATTCCAAGATATTGACAATAACTCTGTCCAATTTCTGTACTTAGGTCTGTGTTTGATTTGTATAATATAGGTGGTGTTGAATCTTTCCATCTGTCATCATTTCCCTCCAGAAATATTTCGTTATAACCTGATAGAGAACCTCACCTGCCATTGAATCCACTACGGCCAAATCCTGACAAATAAGTAAATCAAGTTTCCTTAAAACAGAGGAAAAGAGTTGAAGCATCATTACAATTTTTGTTTTAAACTTAATGATTTCAACATCATTACCATCAACTGTATGAATTTCTACCCGTTGGAATACCACTTCTAATAAATACATTCCTTCATTGGTTAGGACTAATGATCTGAATCATTCCTGGTATGTTTAACGATGGTTTTTATTTCGCAAGGCGACTTGACGTTTGGATGTTGACAAATTGTAGGATGGGATTGGCTTGGGTCGTGGCAAATTGAGAAACTAATCTCGCATCCCACCAGCTGCAAATTTTCCTCTCACGATGATGCTATAAAAGCATATCGTGTGAATAAGAGCACTTATTCATGAACAATATATGGAACAGTAGATTATTTTATATTTTATATATTAGTTACGTTGAAATATTTTCCTGAGACATGCATCGCATCCTAAATTGACAGGCGCGCTTTATTTGTTTGATATAAGAGTGTTTAATTATGATAAGTTGATAAGATTCTTTAAGTGGTTAGAAATGTCCTTCAGAGGTGAAGTCAATACACGACATCCCCAGTCTGCACTCAGACAAATAAATGAGATTTTGTCACATAGCAATACGCTCATCGTTCCTGTTTGGGTCATCCTTACCCAGTTTCAGATGAAAAACAGGAGGTCAATGCAATGTACAGAAAGTGTGTCACAATTGGGTCAATATGACCCATACATTTTTCCCGAATGCCGTCTGACTCCACGCACAACGCGCGCAACCAAGCCTCTGAACGCGCGTGGGTGGCAGAGCTGCAGGCAGTTAGTTTCAGGGGCGTAATAATTGAAACCTTGCACGAGAGAGAAGCAAAAAATGCTGTATTCGGATAACTTCGAAAACATTTTGCGTGATTGAAATATTTTTTGAAATTTTACGACCTAAAAAATCGTCTAAAAGGTTTTTCGGACGTAGTCGAATAATTTCACGCTCAAATATGACATACCGGCCGTAACTATTTTTGTATTTAAACACTACATAGAAGAATTTATTTTAGAGATAAATAATTTCTCAACAGAAAAAAACTTTAATGGTAGTCTACAGAGCGAGACGAATCATCGTTGCCAAGCCGAATCATCGAATTTTAGGCGACCGAAAAAGAATGAAATTTGCATGTCATCTGCATGCGGCAGCACGACGAGCGGCGCTGCACCTGCGCCAGTTGTTGCCCCTCTCGCTGCATTCAAACCTTGAACAGATCTGTGGCGATAACTATCCATTTAATCTTCACTGACCGGCGATATTCTGCAGGCAA